CGCTACTTAATTTATAATTTAGATGCTGACAGAACAAAAGAGGCTGTTTTGTATGTCTCTGTTTTGATCTTAGGGAAACAGACATTGACCGCGCCAAAGTGTTGGATCGTGCTGAATCACTGAGACGTCGAGAAAAAGAGATCCAAGTACCACTGGTATACTACTCCATTGTAAGCAGTCCGTGAACCCGGCGGGGGGGGGATACTCAACAAATGTTTATACAGGAAGCTCCCCCCCGCCCCCATCGGGTCCGTGAATAAAAATGGGAAAGTAAAGTCTGCTGTTTTCCACAAATATGCTCGAACACAAACAGTTCAAAAAGATGGTGTTCGCAGGATCTTACTAGCACTGGTGCCTCTCTTAGTCCGTTGAGAACAAGCTGGACCAGCAAACGGTCGTGTTTATCGTTGCCGTGAATCAAGATAAATACGAGAAGGAATCTAGCCGAATTCCATAACGTTTCCAGAAGTTTAGTTTCGTCATGAAACTCTGGCCATGCTGTTGTAATCGTTTAATAAAAATGGCCGAGGCCGACTCGATAGCCGCTTCGGCATTATAGGTCCACATACTTTAAGCACAGAAGAAAAAATCCAATAGCCAGCAGGCTCTAAAATAACTCTACAGAAAGGTTCTGTGAACTATAAGGAAGATTTCATGTAATATATCAAAAACGAGTGCGAAGGTTTCATCAAAGGTTCCAAACACCGGGAAACACATGAAAGCACGAGGCCGCAGGCCCTGTGCTTTTACTGTTGCGACGTGTTTGGAACCCCTGATGAAACCGGAAGCACGAGTTTTTGAGATGACTTTTCAAACGAAACAATAAAAAAAAATGCAGTGATACATTTTTTTGCTACTGTCCTCCCCAAATGAAAGAACAATAATTTATGCGGCGATGCAATCTTGCCATACTGCCCAGGTATTACGTAACATTACTTCAACATGCATGATTAATTGTTTTGGTGTAGTCGGTGTCTGACCATGAGTGAAGATGGAGAGGCAAGATTTAGGGAGCCAAAAACCGTTTACGAAGAAGGTGAGTTAGTCGAAAAAGCTATTCCCCCGTCAACCAAATACAACAACAAATGGGCGCTAACAATTTTTGGCGAATGGCAAATTTCTCGGTCGGTTATAGCTCCCGCTTTAGATCCAGGAGGGCTCTTTAAATGCTATGATTTACATAAGGTCGAAAAGCTTTCTACCAGCATTGAAGAAATGGATGCCGTACCCTTTGATTACTGGCTTACCAAGTTTGAGATGGAGTTGGCCAAGAAGTCGGGGGAGAGATATCCACCGAAGGCCGTTTATGGAATAGTTTGTGGTATCCAACGCTATCAAGGTTAATTGTATCAAATAATATTCAGGTCATTTTTAGAATTGTTGTTAACGATGTATTAATTATTGAAAAAAGCTCATTAAAATGCAAGTGTTTGATCTCAGATCAAAACCCATAAGATTTTCATCTGAGTGTTCATTGGGTATCAAGGTTCATGCATGTGACCCAAATTTATTGGCTGTTGCCCTCATGAATAATTAATGAGATTGAAACTAACATTCCATGACTTTCATCACTCAAAAGCCGTCGTTAATTCTCTGCCAGTACAAAGGCTGCTGCTAAGAGGACGCTGTAAATCATACTTTTCTAATAAATAAATAATTTTTCAGTATTTTTCAATTTTTCATTTATAGTTTTATAATTTTTCAATTATAAATAATTTTTCTAATAACTAAATAATATTGGCCTTTTTGGAGCCGTTTTTGCTTCTTTCTGGAAAAAAAAATTAAGAATTTTTTATGCCTAAAATTTAACTGTTTTATGTTACAAAGCGGAAGTGTTTAATGTCATCGAGGTACACCCATTCACTCGGTGAAACCCGAACTGCCAAAATCCTTGACCGTATACAAGTACGTTGAAGATCAATCGAAGAAATAATTCGTTAATTTGGCCAAACGACCTTACTAGCATCTGTTGGCTTGATTTGACTTCACTTTCAAGTCTTTTGCATCCTCGGAGACCCAGGGGCAGATAGTGGGGGCAAGAGAAAGTCTAAACGGGCGGAAAAATATGGCACGAAGAAAAGTAAAGAACGGCGAGAGAGCCCCTGGGGACAATGTCTTACCAGATCAGTTCCAAACGGTCGCCGCCGTTCTGGTTTCTGATTGGTGCCAGAAAGCTTTTGTGATTTTTTTGTGTTTTTGTGTTTTTTTACCGCACACGTTCAAACCCTGGTTGTTGCCAAGGCTGTGTTACCGGACAGCGTTTGGTGCGATACGGAAAGCTGTCCCATATTAGCCACTTTGAGGTTGCGCGGGATGCCGGGTCGAGATGTTGTCAAAGTGCATTGTGGGACTGTTTAATGGGACGCAAATTTAATACGGCGACAAATTCTTCCCCTTAAAACGGTCCCACAATGCACTTTCACAACCATCTCGACCCGGTCTCCCGCGCAGAGTAAGGACACAGAACTGGATCAAGTCGTTCACACATATCGAGCATCCTGCGAGAGCGGTTGGCCGAGAGGATTTGTTTTAGTCCGGGTGGGGGGTACCTAACAAATGGTTATACGGGGAGGCTCCACACCGAGGTCCAACTCCTTACCCTTTTATATACCATTTTTCACAGAAAAGGTACTCGGCCCCTTTCGTATACCTTCTATTGAAAAATGGTACCCCTTTCACATACCTTGTTTATAACTAAGTATCCCTTTAACTGCTGTAAATGCACTGTCTTTTGAATAGGAATAAAAAAAAGTAGAACGTTTTCTCGACTTTTTAAAGCCATAAAATTCATCTTTTAGCCCATTTGGGCCCCTTTATCTGCTTCAACGAGTGAAATCACACCCTTTCATATACCTCAAGCCCGAAGATTCACGGTGGGCAAACAGGACGCCAAAAGTGGCCAAAAAGAGGCTACTTAGGGACTACTCTATTTTGCAGTTTTTATCATTTTGAGCTCAATGTTCAGTTGCAGAATGGTAGTACTTTGTATTCGAAACAACCGTATGTTTTTTTTTCGATTTCAACTGTTTTTGGTGGGAAAATGACGTCACAAGATTGACAACGAAATTTAAATTTCAACTAATGGCATAACAAATAGGTAATTTTCCAAGTTCGTGACGACATAGAAACAGATGTGAAAGACTCAGTTGTTTTAGGAGATGTAGCATTTTGAAATGTACTTTTGTTTCGAAAAATAGTAACAAGTGGCCGGAAATTCAAAAATCAAGGCTTAACTGAGCTTTCCCAAAAAAATTTCACATTTGTTTCTATCTCGTCAAGCTCTTTCAGAATTATTTATTTGTTTCGCCATTAGTTGAAATTTAAATTTTGCTGTCAAGCTTCGCATGCAAGTGGCCACTTTGGCATCCTGCTTGCCCGCCGTAAAAAGATGCCCCTTTCGGGCGGAGCCTCCCCGTATGGACCATCATAGTGAATACCCCCTGGGGGGGAGGGGGGCGGTGTAGAGTTAATTGTGAATTTCGCGGGGAAAAGGCCATGCGGAATTTTGCATCCAAGTCTTTCATAGATGCAGAATTTCTGCATTGTTCGTATGTTTTGGAGTTACTCTACTGGATTTCTTCTGCAACTTCCAGGCCTTTTGATAAAAATACCTCTTTTGAAGTGCAATATATTTTAGGGAATTGTTGGCTCTGTCCATTATCTTTATTTTTTTTTATAATTGCAGATTTTTACTGTGAAAGTGTGTTGAGAATAAATATCATGGTTTATTTCAACAACACTGATTTCGTTGTACTATCGGGGTACAGCTCCAATTGTTGTTTTGCCTGCAGAACAGAAAGTTTCTGACCGAGATAGCATTTTTTAATTTGCCGCGTGAATTGGAATGGGGCGTTTTTGACGGAATTTTAAAGTTTGGGCAAACACATTTTAGTTTAATTAGGAAGCGTTTTGGAGGTCTTAGACGGGACTATAGAAAGTTTAAAACTATTTCTATTGAAACCTTCCCTTGATTGAGAAGTTTTAAAACAGCACTTAAGTGTATTTGTTGTGCATAATAAATAAACCAATAATTCCTTAAGTTATTGCCGATATCTATCTTCCCTTTTGCTAAAACACTAATTTTGAATGAGAAACCAACACCGAAGAACAGTCGGTCAGTCGGTCGAACAATCTGTCATTTTACTATAGTCGAAAAAGTTGCGCATTTTAAAGGGGTTACACCATGATTCTGGTCAAAAATTCCAAATATCTTTCGTCCCTACTTTTCAGTAAAAAAGACCTTGGTTTTGTCATTTGACAATGTTGTTTTCTTAAAAGGAGGCTCTTTGGACGATTAAAATGTAATTTTACTATAGTAGAAAAATTGGCATATTTTCAAAGGGCTTAAACAATGATTCTGGTCAAAAATTCTAAATACCGTTCGAGCCTACTTTTCTGTAAAAGAGAACTTGGTTTAGTCGTCTGATGCTGTTGTTTTCTCAAAAGAGGCCTTTTAAGCGATACAAATGTCATTTTACTATAGCCGAAAAATTTGCATATTTCAAAATGGGTTAAACCATGATTCTAATAAAAAATTCCATACATCTTTCCCTTCTACGTTTCTGTAAAAGAGACCTTGGTTTTGTCGTTTGATGATGTTGCTTTCTCAAAAGGAGGCTTTTTGGACTTTTGAAATGTCATTTTACTAGAGTCGAAAAATTTGTATTTTTCCAAATATCTTTCGTCCCTACTTTTCTGTAAAAGAGACCTAGGTTTTGTCTTTCTTTCCTCAAAAAGAGGCTTTTTAGACTATAAAAATGCCATTTTACTAGAGTCGAAAAATTTGCATTTTTCTAAAGGGGATAAACTTTTCTCCGATTTTTACTGAGGGGAGGGGGACTGTACACATATGCTACATCAAATCCAGAGTCCATGTGTTTCAGTCTATTTTGTCAAAACCACACCTCTTAAATTTTATCCCATTTGTTTTTGTTTTTTTTCTTGTAGATCTCAGCGACAAAGTCGCAGAAAAGTAGAAGGTCTGTGTTACACATGCACCCACCGGGGGCCCGAGCAAGGAGACCGCGCATTGTGGACGATTTGGGACCCTGGGATCTAAAAAGCACAAAATCAAAGATGGCGCGCGGAAGGCAACAGAAGGCATGGTTGGTTTTTATCTCGTTTTTCATCTATTTTGCAAGGTTAGTAGCGATAATAGGTGGAACAAACAGTAATGACTGTAGAAGGTATCGTTTTAAGAAGTTTTAGAGATGCTTATGGCGATGGTTTACCTTAAATTTGGTGAGATCCTGACACTCACCAGCCTGTAAGTTTATGTGCAACTCTTTCAATAATGCAATCTCCCCCCTTCTTAAAGTCTGAACGCCTTGATTTTAAGGGCAAATCGTTGCGTATCCAATGGTGTTTTAAGGCTTTATTTGTAATTGGCTTTATAAAAGATAAAGTGTTATGTAGCAGCAAATATTTTATTCGGGTGCCTGGTAGCCAGGCCTCTGACAGGGGGTGAGTTGTCGGGATTTTTGGCGAAGCAGTCGATGAAAAGAACAACAACGGGAATTTTACTGATTTTTCTGTTCTCTGAAACGGTTTGTGATTTTTTCAACTGGGTCAATTTGTCAGAGATACTGGTAGATGAAATTTCCTACCTTTGGTTAATTGTAGGGACTCTGTCTACGATAAAAAATGTAAAGCAAAGAGCTGCTTCATTGGGCCTCTTCTTTAGCTATTAGTGGGACACAACTCCATAAGCATATACCCGCCAACTCTCACGCCTTAGGCGTGAGTCTCACGCCTGCGGGTTGAAAACTTCGATCTCACGCCGGCTCACGCCTGCTGGCCAATTTCTCACGCCTTATTGAAAAATGTGAGTTGTTGGGCCGTCCTACTTGACACAATTTCCAAAAATATGTTAACTCAGACCCATGTAAGGAACGAAAACCATGTGTAAAATGAATAAATGGCAATACCTTCCTCGCGATCTCTGATTTTTGAAGTGAAAAGCACTGGGAGCGAGCTCGCCTTTGGCAGTCTTCGGCAGACTTCGGACGTCTTCGGAAGACTTCGGACTTCTTCCGGAATCTTCGGAAATGATCGTGTCGTCTTCAAAAATCCCAGCACTCCCAGGATAAAAATCTCACGCTTATATCTCAGAAAAAGTTGGCAGGTATATAAGCAGTGCTTCCCCCCTCCCCCCGCAAAATGCTGCCCTTGGCGAAGAACCCCTTCTTACTTTTTAAATGGGTATCTACCAAGTGGTGTCTTGACCCCCCTCCAAAGAAACCTGTCCTTTAATTGTTTTATAGTCAAAACATAATTGCAAAAACACGAGTTGTTCATTTTCGAATTCATTTAGGAGTTACTTTGTATTATTGAATGATAGCATTAAGCACTTTAAGATTAATTTTTTCTGTTTTAATAAATTCAAATGATTACATGTGTTGTTAAACTCCAAATCTTAAAATAAGAGCTTTTTCTGACAAATGTCAATTCATGTGATCTGCTTTGAACTACCTGTCGCCACAATGTTGGTATGCAATGTGAAGTTTTACTTTCAATCATGAGTATACATGTAGTTCAGTCTGCTATTTACATGACACCATTTCAACGGACCGATATATTGACTAGTTGACTGTTTGATTAAGCGGTCCTTTTATGGCTGATTGACCAATTGCTTACTGATAACGTCAGGACTGATTGACTGACAAACTGACAGACTTACTTGCTGACTGACTGGCTCATTGACTGACAAAATGGCTGACTGACTGTTGGCTGTGTGGCCGATTAACTGACTTGTAGTCGACTGGTGAACTGACTTACCATGTGGCACAAAGCTTTTGCGGGTTCTAATTTTTGCGATATTTGCGATTTTTCCAGCGATCTGCAAAAATAAGTTCCTGCAAATAAAAATTATCACAAACATTTTTCCCACAAAAATTTAACATAAATTTTCTCCAACTTAAAATTGATGAACAAAAATATAGTACTACGAAATTGTGTCTGTTAAATTACATAGGGTACGAATACCGTAGTGTTGTTTTAAATAATATTTCTATTGTACATACTTAACAAAAACAAAAATATTATCAATGCTAGACACTGGGTACTTTGTGAAAATCACAAAAATTAATTCCCAGCAAGAAAAACCAGTCTGTTCTAATCGCAAAAATTAGTTCCCGCAGAACACAAGAAAATCGCCAATCCTCAAAAATAAAATCCTGCAAAAATTTTGTGCCACATGGTATTAGCTGACTTAAGCTTGTTGACTGAGTGACTATCTCACTTCCTGAATGAATAAGCTGCTGACCTGCTGACTGACTTACCTTTTGGCTATTGTAACTGACTGATTTGCTGACTAACTGATTCAAGGACTGAATAATTGGCTGAATTTTTGACTAAGGACTGATTTACCAACTTACTACCTGACTGATAGACTGACTGTCCAATTGTCTTGCTAACCGACTGACTGATTATAAAACTGACTGATTTACTGACTCATGGACTAACTGGCTTATTGATGGACTGACTGATTGGCTGACTGAGGCTGATGTGTTGACGGACTGACTTATTGCCAAAGTTTTAAACTGACTTGCTGTTTGACTGACTGACTCATTGATTAATATGCTGAGTAACTGATTTATGGACCTACTGGCTGAAAAAACTGACTGACCTACTAACTGACTGACTTACTGTCTCATAGACTTACTGAATGGCTGACCCGTTGACTGTCTGACTGACCAAATAGCTGACTTACAGTTGATAACCAACCAAGTGACTGACTTATTGATGGACTCGCTGACTTGCTGAGTGACTGGCTGACTGGCTGCCTTGCTGACTGACTGACTCATTGACTAAATGATTAACTGGTTGACTTGCAAAGTGGTTGACTGGCTGACTTGGCAACTCACTGACTTATTGATTGGATAAATAGCTCACATTTTGACTGACTGGCCCTTTGACTGATTGTGTCAATGGCTGAATGGCTGACCTGCTAAATGACTGCCTTATTGGCTAACTAACTGAGTGGTGGATATGCTGAGTGACAACTGATTGACTAATGAACTGACTCATTGAATGACTGACAGACTGGCTGACTGGCTGAATAATCGACTGACTGACTGGGTAACTTACAATGTACTAGCTGAATTACTGACCGATAGCTGCCTTACTTACATGCACTTGCTGATTAACCAACTGACTGATCGGCTGACTGACTGATTGACTGGCTTGCTTGCAGATTGACCAGTTGGTCGATCTTCAAGAACATGTTACAGTGTACAAGCAAGTCAGCCAGTCAATCAGTCAGTCAGCCTGGGGCAACAGTCAGTTGGTCAATCTTCAAGTACATGTTACAGTGTACAAGCAAGTCAGCCAACACACTTTGGCAAGGTAGTCAAGTATTCGCTGACTTGCTTGTACGCTGTAACATGTATTTGAAGATCGACCAACTGACTGATGGGCTGACTGACTGATTGACTGGCTGACTTGCTTACGTGAACTTGCTGAATGGCTAAATGACTGACACACGCTGACTGACTGATTGACTCGCTGACTTGCCTACGTGTACTTGCTAACTGACTGATTGACTGGCTGGCTGAATTACACACTTGTTTAAAAGCTTACTGACCATCTGAATGGCTGACTGACTGACTGTGTGACAGATGGACTGATTAACTGACAGTCAGAGAACTGGTTGCCTGATTGGCTGGCTCATTACTTGACTTACTCAACATGTTGGTTGACATACTGGAGAAGTGGAAAATGAATACACAATTAAGATAAATTTTAGGTTTCATAAAATTAGAGACATTTGATTATGAGTTGCCATTGAAATATTGATTGACTGACTGACTAGTGACTAGTGATTAGTGAAACTTTAGACTGGGCGAGTAAAAATATGCTTCTACATTTACCAACCCCCTTTCTAAAACACTTTATCAGTAGTTTTTACTGTTGTCGTTGTCTTTGTTGCTTTTAAAAAGCTTCCTATTGACTAATTGACTTGACTGGTTGGCTGATGTGCTAATGCTCATGCTAGGAAAAGAATCAAGATTACTGATTGCTAATGAATAGTCAATTTTTCATTTCAGATCAGTATGTGTCCAGTAAATGTCCTAAGGCTTTAACAGCCAGGATTTTGAGCTTATACTTCAGTGTACACTGTAAGTACTATACATTGCATAGTGAACCACAAAAACTGAACTTGTGCAGCTTGTTTAAAGTATGATTGACATACAGACTCATAAGCTTTTAGTGGCCATACCTGGCATATAATTTACTCGTAACAAAAAAATTTTTAACTTTTTCAAAATCAGTGTCTCTGTAAAATAAAAGATACATGTCTAATTATAATATAGTTAAAGAACACACTACTTGAGTGCCTTAAGATTCAATAAAAAAATTTCAAACTCAAAGTAAGAATATTAAACAGTTAATTTGTTAAAAATAATGCTAATATTTTTAAATGCATTTACAGTGATTTTGTTATCTCAGTGTTCTGTGTTCCTGACGCATAAAAATCCCCAAAGACGCAAAATGATTTAAGGCAGGTGTCCCGTACAATGCAACGATCGATTGATCTGAGCTGAACATGTGTTTTTCTAGAAGTATCCTGTTTGTGTAATTTCTGTGGCAGTTACTATGACTGTTGTTTAATGATGAATATTTCTTTTAGCCTTTGTTGTGCTATAAAAATTATAGAAGGACTATTATTTTAGTTTTAATATTCTTGTAATGCAGAGTTGTAGAGTCTGTCTTCAGATTAACTGTCTGGTTACATAAAGGCCTGAGCATTTTCAATTTCAGACTCGTTTTTTAACTGGGACTCACTTGTTCAAGACTGGGACTCATGATTTTTTACAAAATGAGTCCTTAGACTCACCATAACTTTTTGTAACAAAATTACTGCATTTATGGGATTTAAATGAATGCTTGTTTTAATCTTTTCATGAACGACAGCTACATATAAAAAGCTCTACAGTTTGAAGCCAAACCAGTGGTCGACTTTCAGAAAAAAATCTTGGGGCTAGCTGGCCCACAAGTTTTCATTTTTGGTCGCCAGAACAAGTATTCTAGTCACCAAAAATTATATTTAAGAATTAATGGAATACAATAAACTTAACAGTTTTTACTTAGCCTTAACAGAAAAAGAATGCTTAGACTTCCTTTTGAACTTTCTTTCGAACGGTTTTTGCTTGAGGCTCGATTACCAGCCGGCGTTTGGGAAAATGAGCCCGCACTCAAGCATAAATCTCCTCAAACAGGTATTCAAGCTTAAGGTTCAGGAAATGGAATACACATTTAGATAAACAAACTTTAGGAATCACAAAATAACTTATTTGGGTTATTAAAGAACAAAATCTGCGTCCCATGTATTTGCATATTCAGAAATGAAGATCAGTGAAACTTGATCTATTTCATTGCCTGGCACGTGATCGAAAGTCTCCAGAAAGAGGAATTGTCGCTAATGTTTTAGGGCAAAGAAGTTGATTTCGCGAGAAGACTGTTTGACAAACAGCATGACTTTAACGGTTCTTCATCAGAAGTCAATAAAATACGACAGAGCTTTTATTGGGGTCGTCATGCTCAACAGAAATTTTCATGAAGTTGTTTACAAGAAGCTCGAGAAATAAGTGCCGTTCGTTCTTGATTAGCTTAAGCGTTTATCAGACTAATCTGCTATCGAGTCCGCAATCGAGAGACATCTTCAACAAAAAAGAAATTGTTTTTAATCGATGCGCTAAAAGTCATTCCCGGAGAAACACAGGACAACCTGTTGAGAATTGCGATCGATTTGCAGGAAAGTCGATAAGACTTCCGTCAAATTCATCACTAGTGATTTTCACAATCCTCTTTCAAGTAAAAGTTAAATGTCAGACATACCAACTGTTATATTATAAGGACAATCTGTTAGAGTGTTAGAAGAAATCGTTAAAGCATTTAGTTTGAGAGATTGGACAAACTGTTAGAGCGTTAGAAAAACGGTAAGCTATCTGTTAGTTTTCTAAAGGATAACAGATTATCATTAGTGTACGTTTTCCCAGAGAAGAAAGTCAACTATCTTGGGGGTCAGGTTGGCAACCAGGCGTGAAAATTTAGTTGCCACTGAGTATAGTAAAAGCTCAGGGTCGCATTGGAGAGCCCTGCAAACTGTACAGTTCTTTCCAACAAGTAGTAAGACTTAAAAATTCTTCATTTCCAAATTCATTTAGGGAATTACTTTGTACTATTGACTGATAGCATTTAGCACTTTGGGATTTCTTCTTTCTAGATTAATAAATTCAAATAATTGCATGGGCAGTTAAAATCAAAATCTTAAAATAAGAGCTTTTCTGACAAAATGGCAATTCATCCTAAAGTAGATGTGATCTGCTTTGATCGAGCTGTCACCACAATGTTGGTATACAATGCAACTAGTTTTACTTTTAATCATGAGTATACATGTAGTTCTGCAATTTTCATGATGCCATTTCAGAGGACTGATTTATTAATGGATTGACTGTTTGATTAAGTGGTTCTCATATAGCTGATTGACTAATATAATAAAATTATTGCTTACTAAATGACTGATAACTTCAGGACTGATTGACTGACAAACTGATTGACTTACTTCCTGACTGACTGACTGACTCATCGGCTGACAAAATGGCTGACTGACTGTTGAATGAGTGACTGATTAACTGACTTGTAGTTAACTGTCCAACTGACTTATTCATTGACTTGTTGACTGAGTGAGTGACTATTTTACTGGCTGAATGAATGACTTGCTGACCTGCTAACAGACTTACCTATTGGCTAACTGACTGACTGGCTGACTAACTGGTGGATCAATTATTTATTGATTGATTGACTGACTGATGGTCTGACTGACTTACTAATTGGTGATGGATGACTTGCTTCGATCACGTACCTACTGACCTACTGACTAATTGACTGATCGGCTGACTAACAGTTTGACTGGCTAACTTGCTTACATGTACTTGCTGATTGACTAATTGACTGAATGGCTGACTGACTGATTGACTGGCTGACTTGCTTACAGTGCTCATGTACTTGCTGATTGAATAACTGACTCAGATTGGCATACTGATTGATGGACCAGCTGGTTTGCTTACATGTACTTGATGATTGACCAGCTGATTGATTGACTAAGTGACTGATTGGATGACTGATTGATTGCCCGGCTGACTTGCTGCTTAAGTTACAGACTTACTTCTTTTAGAAATTCTGACCAATTGACTGGCTGACGTGCTCAATTACTGACTGACTGACTGTATGACAGATAAACTGATTAACTGACAGTCAGAGACTGATTGATTGATTGGCTGGCTCATTTCCTGACTAATTGGCTTGACTTGCTAGTTGACATACTGGAGAAATTTTGAAATGAATCTATGAATAAGAAATTTTTGGTGTCATAAATTCAGAGATCATGAGTTGCCGTTGAAATATTGATCACTTAAATGCAGCTCTTGTTTCTGAAATTCACACGGTTAGACTGCAAAATCATTGAATGCAATTTTTAATTGGTACATTTTTGCTGCTCACTTTTGTATTAGTTTTTGTGAAAATTGAAGGGTATGGCCACTAAAAATCATGAAGAAGCTATTATAGTTAGGAATTCGTCTAGGATACTTGTACTTGAAAAGATTCAAATTCATATTGAAATTAATTTTGACAAATGGCAAACTAAACTAGTACATGTAGATGTGATCTGCTTTGAATAAGCAGTCACTGCAATGTTTGTTTACAATGCCAAGTTCTGCTTTTAATCATGTGTATAGCTCTGCAATCTACATGATACCATTTGAGTGGACTGATTTATTGACATGATTGACTTTTTCTGTAAGTGGTCCTTAGCTGCTCAACCAACTGACTAAATGAGTGACGAACTGACTAATTGGCTGACTATCTCATCAATTTCCTGACTGACTGTCTAACTAGTTAACTGGTTCAATTACTGACTGACTGACTGTATGACAGACTAGGCTGATTAGCTAATGCTCACAGACTGATCGATTGAATGATTGGCTGGCTCATTGCCTGACTAATTTGCTTGACTGTCTGGTTGACATACTGGAGATTCATGCTAAGAAAATAAATTTATGTTAATGTCCTTTATGATGTTAATCAGAATTACTGATTGCTGATGAAATGACTAATTATTCATTTCAGGTTAGATGTCTCCAGCAGATGTAACAAGACTTTAACAGCCACTGGATTTAGAGGTTATCTTCAGTGCTGTAAATGCTGTATATATTGCTTTGTAATCCAGCTCTTGAGTGAACCAGATAAACAAAACTTCTGGTACAGCTTGTTCAAAGTACGATTGAGGTGCAGATTCGTTCGCTTTTAGTGGCCATACCTGGCCTAATTAAAACCAAAATTCAAAACTGTTTGGAATTGAATCATTTTTAAAATGAGAGATACACCAGTGAAGGAAAAAACATTACACTCTACTTAATTGAGTGGCTTCAATTTTTCTTGATTTCAATATTATTTGGCAAGCTGTTTCTTGTTTACAATTAAAAAAGAACAGAGATTCAACAAATTTAATTTTGAGACTCAAAGGAAGAGCATAAAAAATTTTGTTTTTAATGAATTTTTTGAAGTTAAATGAATGTTTGCTTTGAACTGTTCATGCAAGACCAGCTAAAAGTTCTCAAACAGTTTGAGGCCAAAGTGTACATTTCTTTCCACTCTTGTGTGTAAGTCCGAGATAGTTAAAAAAGTGTTTATGGCTCAAAATACTCTCAAATAAAATTATACAAGTGTACAATCGTCACTGTAAGACAATTATAATGAGCTGCAACTCCAGCAAGTGGCATGGACATTATTGTTATTTTGGAAAATGAATAAATGAACAAGATGAATTTCAGGTTTCATAAATTCAGGGTCATTTGACTATGAGTTGCCATGGAAATATTGATCACTAAAAATCGGCTCCTTTTCTGAAATTCACACTACAAAATTATTGTCTAATGAATGTTTTTTTTTAAATTTGTACATTTATGCTTCTCATGTTTGTATTTTGTGTTTCAAAAATATTATTAATACTTCAAAATGGTTTTAGGTTCTAATAATTACATTCAGTTAAAAACAAATCTTAAGACTGACAACTCGTAATTTTGTCCTAATGTAGTAGGCATGATTTGCTTTGAACAAGCTGTGCCACAATGGTACTTAAAAGCCAAGTTCTGCTTTTAATCACAAGCATAGTTCTGCAGTCTACATGATACCATTTTAGAGGACTGATTTATTGATTGATTTACTATCCTTAAGTGAGCCTTAGCTGACTAACCAACTGACTAAATGAGTGACTAACTAACTAATTGGTTGACTGTCTGACTGATTTCCTGACTGATTTCCTGACCCATTGATTGATTGTCTGACTGTCTGATTATATTACTGACTAACTGACTGATTGACTGACAAACTGACTGACTTACTTTCCGACTGCCTGACTGACTCAGTGACTGGCAAAATGGCTAAATGGCTGTTGACTGTGTAAGCGATTAACTGACTTGTATTGGACTGGCCAACGGACTTATTAGCTGACTTGCTGACTGAAATGCTGACTATCTTACTGCCTGAATGAATGACCTGCTGGCTGACTTACCCATTGGCCAACCGACTGACTTGCTAAACACAATTACTGACTAAATGGCTGACTTTTTAACTGACAACTCGAAAAGAGTAGGGGTCGTAGACCCCGGTGGTGCGGCCAACCTTTACAGCTTGTGGGATTAGGTAGGGATGGCACCTCAAATGGGACCTGAGTCCTGTTCGTGCACATTCCCTCTGGGCAGGCCTGTGTCCAGAAAAGCCAGTGATAAATAAATAAATAAACAACTGATTTACTGACCCATTTACTGACTGATCGATGGCTGACCTACAGTTGACTGACAAAGCTGACAGACTAACTGATAAGCTAACTTGCTTTACTGACGGGCTGACTCACTGCACCACCTTGGCTATCTTGCTGGCTAAGTGGCTGAAAAATATAACTGATTACCTGCTTACAACTTCGACTTATTCGATAGTATTGTATTATGACTGACCGCTTGACAAAATTATTGACTATATATTTGTTGGTAAACTGGTGGATTAGGGAAATGTCATGTGAAATGACAAGCTGGTTGATCACTTGTTGACCAGCTGAGTAATTTGATAACTGTTTTGACTGACTTTTTGAAAGTTGGTTGATTGCTCACTTTTTGACTAGGAGATTGATTTGACTGTCCACTGACTGTGTGGTTTTAGTAGATTGCTGAACTGTGCTTCCCATATTTCATTTCATAAAGGGTGTATTTTAAATCTCTCCTGCATAATCCCATCTGGGTTGAGAAAAGATGTTTCAAAATAGAAAGACATCTGGAACAAGACTAATGCATTCCATATTAGTGACTTAGCATTTTGCTTGCCTGGTTATAATACATGTATTATCATAATGGAACTACTAATTCACCATGGTGAATATAAAGCTATTGTGGTGCAATGTCATCACTATGGAATGTTTAAAGTCTTTTCCCAAGCGTTGCTTTCAGAGTGTGGGGTGAGGGGAGGATGTTGTCAATTCAATCTTAAGTGCCCCTACCAAACAGCTTGTAACACTGAAATTCGACACCTCAGCGATATGTTTTCTTTTGTCAGGAGAAACAATTTTTTTCCTGAAATTTAAGGCTGTCAGCAATACCCCATCCTTTTTGTCGATTTTTTTTGGATCCCAGGGAGGGCAATGAACAGCAAAAAGGGCACTTCGCTCGTCACAGATTGGTCTCTTAAACAAAAGGACAGCTACAACGACAAGAGTCCTACTAATACCTTGGCAATATTTTGGTAAAATGAAATGTTATCAACAGTAAGAGGAATCAAGATATTGTTGTAAAAACTGTTTGGGTACTTTTTTTTCTATGATGATGAAACAATTAATGTTAAGGGCATTGAAGAAATATTCACTGATATCGCCTTTTGAATAATATATGAATCAAAATAATACAAGATGAAAAAGTCGTAAAAGAGAGATTTGTTGCATTGTTAGGAAAATTTCACGTGGTTGCGAAAAAATGTAGGAAAATTTTAGTGTTACAAGGAAACCCCATGGAGAGATTTAAAGATGCCCAATCAACCTCGTCAGTTCCAAGGATGATCAGTGTATCATTTCTCCTTACTTTTTCAACACATTGTCAAGTAATGAACGTTAATGCAAGTTACGACCTGGATGATCCTCTAAATTCTCACAGCTAGTGTTTTGGAAATGCGTGGGAGAAGTGAGGAGAATTGACACTTTCAGCTTAGGACTGAAACTCCCCAGTAACCTCAAGGTCTTGACAACGCTTTGTAAGGCAATTTTGGTTTGGCCTTGGTAAACGGCTCGGTTAAGCTGTTTGTAAATCAGTTCTAAAGTTTTTAATGCGCGTATTAGTTTGTTTTACTGACAAACATGCCTTATTACCATGCCGTCCAAATGTCATACGGCAAAGCTTTGTCGAGACTATGAAATTAATGAAAGCAGGACTTGGTTTATTTTGTTATTTTGACGAAGGCTCGGACACAGTGGAATATTTGGCGTTGTAAAAAATTACTTCGTGTTTCTAGTGATGAGACTGTTACGTGCAACGTTTAAAGAAGTAAAATGCCAATTTCTAAAACACTGCGCGAAACAATCTCTTAGTAGGAAACCGGTGTAAATCTAAGACTGATTTATACTAGCTACATAAGCACAATTAGAACAAGTTTAGTGAGGTCATCAGCGACAGATGAAACAACAAAGAAAACTGATTCTTGTGTTCTCCTCATTGCGAATATACGCGATTTGTGCGTTAATTCCTTGTGAGGAAACAAAGAATAATTGTTTTTTTTTTCGTGTTTGCGCTCATGTTGTTGAGGTCTTCACTGAAAGTTATGCTTCTGTTTATGTCGCCAGTAGAATCAGTCTTAACTGCGCGCAATATTTCACTGTGTCCGAGTCTTTTATCTGGTTCACTCGAGTAGTTGGATTACAAAGTAAACAGCACAGGTACTGAAGATAAGAGTATTTTATTAAAGCTTGTCTCTGTTGTCCACTTATATATATATAAAGAATAAAACAAAAAAATAATCTAGCCTCCCTCGCCCCTGCCGGACTGCTTCCACTCAGCTCCAAGTCGGTGTTCATTCTTCTGTCCTCATTTAATATTCCAACTTTAAAATCCTGGTCTGTTTTATCTGATCCCTTTATTCAAGCTGGGGGCAGTTGGACACTTAGAAAATTCAGCCGTTTGTTCCCAAGTGGGGTGGGCAGCGTAAAGGAAAGTGAGAGTTTGCTCCTCATGCCCTCAGGGTCTCACTCATTTACGTCACAATACCACACCGGCCAAAAATAATTCTCAGCGAAAAAAATAATTTGTTTTAGTTCAAGACGAGTATCTACAAAATCAATATATCGTGAAAATATCCAGAGACTCGGACAAGAAAAAAGAGGGTGCTACAGAGTCAAACTCACTTTTCAGTGGGTCTCCGTCAGAAACGAAGGCAGAGAATTGAACAAAGAATCGCGCTGGTCTGACTGACCTTCATTTCGCAAACTTCACCAAAGAGCACAAGTCAATAATAATCTCTCCTCTGCAAAGCAACTGATGCTGGATTTCTCTCGCCCTATTTTAATGTTTAGAGTTTAATATTTAGGTCACAATGAAATGAAATTTGCTGCCGAAAATAAGATTTTATTCTAGCGCCGTTTATTATCATTTAACCAAAAATGCCGAAGTGCCGCGATAAAGTTTTGGTCTTAATGTTTCGTTTCAAAATCAATATCTAAAATTTGCCTAATCTGTTATGACTTAGGATAACGTTAAAATCAGTGCCGAATAGATTTCGCCTTTAAATTTTTTTAGATCTAGAGCGACTTTGTAAATAAATATTCAATTTAAGTTAAATTTTGGATCCTTTTACTTCCAATGAAAATAACGGACAAATTTTCGCATTTCGAAACGAAAAAGGAAACTAGCGGAAATATATATACTTTTTATCCTATAAAGTAAAACTAAATATTAGCCGGAAAAAAATTAGATTTGAACTTAAGTCTTAATTTATGCAGCTAGCCGCAATGTTTATCCGCATAATAATGAAAATTTGCCGGAATAATAAATTTGGGCCAATTTCCCTAGAGATGTTTCAGCTGTTGTGACCGGAATGGATACTTCACATCAGGTTTCCCACAAAAGACTGGAACTAGCCAAATGCGTCGTTTAAATGAACAATAAACAAACAAGAGTCTTCCAGTCCTTTAAGGGAAAGCCAATTATAATGTATCAATTGAAGTCACCGCGGAGAATTAGCTGAAAATTTAAAGAAGACATTAAGCGAAATCTATGCTTATGACAAAAGTTGTTTATATATTTATGCCTATAGCCGAATCTAAAGCATGAAAGTCAAATTAACGTGATTTATCACACAAGCCAAGGAAATCTATTCTATGTCCCTTTTTAAGCGACTTCCACAGCAGTCTGATTAATCAAGTTAATTTAATCGTAATAATTTGATCCTAAATTAATACGGTTTAGTTATCTAGGTTTCCGAAGGCTTAAGTAATATCAAAGAGAAGGTAGTCTTTTTAAAACATCAACAGCCTAGTTTGTTTGCCTGTTGTTTCCAGTTGACACAGAAACAACAGACAAACAAACAACAGATGTTGACGTAATATAACCTTAGTTTTGATCATTTTTAGATAATTGCGGTTGGAAATATGAGAATGAAATGATAATTAAGATAATAATTGAATCCTAAATTAAAATGGTTTAGTTATCTTGCTTTCCGAAGGTTTAGATAATATGAAAGTGAAGTTAGTCTTTAACATCAACAGCCCCGTTTGTTTGACTGTTGTTTCCAGTTGACACAAAAACAGCAGACAAAAAAACAACAGATGTTGATGTTATAAAACCCTAGCTTTGATCGTTTTTAGATAATTCAGGCAGGAAATATGAGAATGAAATGATAATTAAGATACTAAATAATTGATTTGTTTATGATTTTTATCCTATGCGATGTTTTGAACGGTTATTTATTATTAGGCCTAAGCAAACTTGAGATGTGAAATTTTTAGGTTTAGAAGAGAACTCCATTACCAGTTGCCCTCCGTTTGAGAGAGATTTTTATGACTATAGCTCAATTTGATGTCATTTGTAAAAATCCACCCACGCCACACCAGTGAGATTCAGTGTCCAGTCCTCTGTCCTCGAATTCTCCATCGACTCACTTACTTCGTTAGTCTGCACAATGTTAGCACTCCCGTTTTTCATCCTACCGCAGTGGAACATTCCCAGACATATTGTTTGCAGGCAAGCACCTTACTGGGTTTTTTTTGGAAAAAAGGTGCGGGTAGTATTGTGACAAAATGAATGAAGCCCCAAGAACATAAGAAGCAAACTCTCACCTTCCTCCACACTGTCCTCCCCAGCTGGGAACAAACGGCCAAATCTTCCAAGTGCCCAACTGCCCCCAGCATGAATTACAGGATCAGATAAAGTTTTCCCGGATTTCTCAGTTGGAATATCTCAGAGGACGTCAGAATTCACACCTTCTCAGAGGTAGAGCTTCCACAGCCCAGCAGGGACGAGGTTGGCTAGATTTAAACATGACCTTGCCCAAGTGATGGGCTCCTAATCTTGTGCGTGTGCCACCTGAGGTCTGAAATTAAATAAGAACTTAAAAAATTAATGAAAAGCCAATGATCTAAGAAAACAACCAATAATTCGTGACGACACCACTGGTTTCCCCAAGAAATGACCCAGAAAAAGAGAATAAGTGAAGAAATTCTATACTAATGATAAGTCACTACCCAGATCTGGATAATGCTTCTGGTTCGTGATGCCACAAGGAATATGTTCCTCAACCAATCAGAAGCCCTTTCCAGGTCTGAGTAGTGACATGTCATCAGTATGGAACGTCTTTACTCATTCCTCATTTCAGGTCATTTCGCGGGGAAACCAGTGGTAGCGCCAGGAAATCTCAGCTGTTCTCAAAGCCTTAGCTAATGCAAGCCTAACAACAAATATCATTAATTAACATTAAGGCAACTAATGCAAGCTCATTAGCGTATTAAGCAAAACTAGATATTTCTTGGTACTACAAACGTCTCCGTAATGTACCAATGTAGTCAGTCAACTAATGCTCTGTTGATATTAGTAAAAAATGGAAACAAAAAGAATGCCACGGAGTCAATTCCTAAAACTAACTATGAAAAATAAAAAAAGAATAATAAAAAAAAGAAAAACAGAGAGTGAATGCAGTACCAAGAAAATTAATTATTAAAAAAGAATATAAATTCAATCAAAAGTCTCCAGTCTGCTTTGTTCTCAAAATTTAATAGTAATGAAGGAAGTTTCACTTGTGAAATTATCAGCGATTTGGAAACATTTTACTGCAAGTTGCCTAGAAAAAAAAAGCACAAGCAGACTAGAGATTGCCTTATAGACATTATGTACATGTACACTAATGAAAAATCTACTTTGTGTTGTAATAGTTAAGATCCTACTATTGGGCCTAATTTTTTTTACCAGCCTCACTGTTTCTTAAGAGAATTTCCTGTTGCTTTGGATTTCTATTTTAAAATTTAATCTGAACGGACAAAATCATTTGTGCACCGATGGGACCTAACTTTGAAGTCCCAACAGAGACCAAAATCAATCACCAACTTATTACTAATCAAACGAAAATGAAACTTTACCTTCTTGATACTTGCTTACTAGAGGATCGGTAAGAAGAATTTGGCAATTGGTATTGGGACTTAGCCTGCAAAATTTAGATGCAATTCCAGCTGTAGCTTTGTGACCACTGAAAGTTAGAGATGCCTTTGGCCGAAAAAAAAAACTTATATTTTCCCTTTACGGAAAATCATCAAAAGTTTTATGGCAAATGGTCTATTCATAATCATTTTACCCTTACAAATTTTAGCTCATAAGAAATCTGTATTGTTACTTTTATGTCGGGAATTTAATGATGTATGCCTATCCAGTACTTATTTCTCTTAACCTGTATAGACACTGAGTTTAGACATAAATATTAGTTAGGAGATTTAAAGGTAATATTTTGCTAATGAGCTTGCTTAATTGTAGAGCGTTAATTTCAGAAATAAGTTATAACTAATACTGTATTAGTGAAATCCTGATTCTCCAAACCTCTTGATAATTCGAACCAAAACTTGTTTTCCTATCCCTAAGTCACTGTAATTTTTTATATTTCCCCTTGGGCTTTCTCAACAAGAAAACGGCAAGAAAGCCCAAAGCCCAAAACGAAGCTTAGGCTCTGTAATTCTTTGAACTCCAATTTTCTAAAATTCTCAATTTTACAAGAGGTTCAAAAAATCATGATCTCCACCCTGTTAATATAGCCCAGGAAGCGCAACATTTCCTATGAAAAAGTAGAGTTCGGATAGGAGGTGGACCTGTGGAAAGAACTATAGTGTGTGGCTTTTACTTTTATGAAAGGAATAACATTTAAGTAAAGCTAAATATTCCTGCCTGTATGATTTATTTTTGCTGTGATCTGGTTGTGACGCTTCCTATGCCTTAAAGATACAAGCAACATTGTGCTGTCAAGTGATCTTAGAAACTGAAAGTCAGTGACTGGCCAATTATAGTCTCAAACAATAAACTCTTACAAAAACACTTAGTCCACCCCCATATTTACTGGCAGCACAATGTTAACAACTGTATAACATGTAAAACCTCCATTAAGCCCGACCCACCCCACACCCCAAACCATTTCTTAAAGGCTAATTTTGTAACCTGATCCTCTTACGTGACATCCTCCACAACTTACCTGAAACGTCATTCTTCTTGCAGAAAATGCAGGAAATGATTTCCATCAAACCAATGCAAGATTGTAGGTGGGATAAAAAATAACACTTTCCCCTAATTGTTCTCCTTAATATTGAGATAATGAGAATCCTTTCTTCATCCCCCTTATCCCCCACCCCACCACCATCTCAAAATCCCTTAAAACTCTCTATAAGGTGGATGGGGGCTTAATTGAGCTTTTACAGTTTTATGTACAAAATAATCTATAAAATTAATATCCACACCCACCCGACTACTGGAACTATATATCATAACAGCATGATCACTATTATTTATATTTAGCAAGATTTCCTTTGAGCAGTGAAGTACTAGGCCCAAGGGTAGTTAACTTTAAAAAAGTTTGGAGTAGGGATGTGCCGGCAGGTGCACCCTGAAACCCCTAACCCATACCAGACTTGAGTGTTCACCTCAGCTTTGCTTAACCCTAGAATATACTAGACCGAATTGGTCTAAAAGCTAATTTTTGAAAGCATTCTTCTCAAGTGATTGAATGACATACTGTGTAGCAGATTTTGATAAAATTGCTAATTCATGAGGAAAATGTCTTTTATAACCACGTACTATAAATTATTCTTGGATAGAGCTTTTCACGGACTTTGTCTGATACAAAGTTTTATGAATCCCTTTTCTTCCCTGAAGTATAATTAAATAAAACAGACCTTTGTATACTACTCAAACTACATACTACTCAAAGGAATCTTGCATTTGAACTTAATAATATTAATTTGTATAAGTTAGTACATGTAGTACAAATAAGCATTCATTTTCAAATCAATTTGTCACCATGAAATTTTTTGGAACTCCAATTTGAAAAAAAAAATAAAGACCACAAACTTACTTAATTCAGGAAAACTTTGATAAGTTGATCGCGGTCCGGCCAAAAATTAAACGGGATGAAGACCTATTTACATAAATAAATTATGTCATAAAATTTCAATCTCAGACTTAAAAACTAAGTTGAGAAAATTTTTAAGTGATGCTTATTAGACGTACAAATATGGTGGCACACACTTTATAATTATATCATTACTATTGCAATACGGCAGATATCTTAGTATTCCCTCCAATAGTGAATTAAAGAATTCCGCCTAATAAAAAATACCCCTATTGATTTCACTACATATTCAGCAGAAATGTTCTGAAGATACTAGCCGATTTTTCATCAGACGAAATAAGGTTTTCTTCGTATGTGCAAAGCTCAGTTGTTTGAAAACTACTGGTATAGTTAAGAGCAAAAATATTGCAAATGAATCTATTCACTCTTGTTAGGAATACCATAGACCTGTTAATTATTGTATGAGGTTCCTATTTGTTGAAACGGTCAATCTTCTTCAGTTTTTGTTTTTGTTTTTGTTTTTCACTGCCAAATTAAATGAATTTGTCTAATTGCTGCTGAATGGGGGTTGTGGAACAACAGCTGGGTGAAAAACCTCCCCGTACGTCCACTTGCTCCTAGGAGGAAAACCCCCGGGCCAGCTGTACCCCGCATTCAATGACCTCCCGGGCTGGGTCAGAAATATTCTTAAACCAAGTACCTGCTTTGAGGTAAGGTACTGGCTGTAACTGTTAGCATTAATTATCATGATTGTATAAATTAATACTAATAAACCAGGTATTCTTTGTAAGTTCACTTTGATGGTACCATCATCTAGTTATACTAGCCTCTTCACTCTTGGCTTTTGAACTCCTGCAATTGAGTTACTGATGAGTTGTGGACCATGCAGTAATGCCAAATCGGTTGTTCTTCTGTACCTAAGTAAAAAGAATTCATTTTCACTCAAGTGGAAAGTTATTTGTGACTCAAATGATAACTTTTGGCTTTAAGTATTTATAGGGACAGAGACAAGCAAGGGATGCACCAATAGTATTATGTCTAAGATCTAGTCATTTAACCGATCTCACAAAATGAATGTAAACAACGACCTTATACAACATCACATGCATATTCCTAAATAAGACTACGGGAGTGACTGCAATGACAAGGAAGACTAAGATAACAAGGGTGACTAGAATAACTGAGGTGTCTAGGATGACTAAGATAACCGGAATGACCAGGGTAACTGGCATAACTAAGATGACTAGGGTGACTAGGGTGACTAGGGTGACTTGGATGACTAGGGTTATTAAAATAAGCAGGCTAACTGGGTTGACTAGGGTGACTGCCAAGATGATAAGGATAACAACAGTGAATGGATTGACTGTGATGATAATGATAACTAGAATGGCTAGGATGACTGGGATGCAGGTTTGGATGACTGGATTGACTGGGATGACTAGGATTACTGTGATGACTAAGACGACAAGGTTGACTGGGATGACTGGAGTGACAGGGGTGATTATGATGGCAACAGTGAATGGGTTAACTGTGATGATTAGGATGACTAGAATGGCTGGGATGACAGGTATGCAGGTTTGGTTGACTGGAATTACTGGGATGAATAGGATTACTGGGATGATTAAGACTACAAAATTGACTGGTATGACTTGAATGGCAACAGTGAATGGGTTGACTGTGATGATAAGGATAACTAGAATGGCTGGGATGACTGGGATAACTGGGATTACTAGGATGAAAAGGGATAAGAGTCTGGGGTGATAGGCATGCCTGGGATGGTTTGAATAACTGGAATGACTTGGATGACTAACATGACTAGGATGACAAAGAAGACGAGGTTGACTGAGACGACTGCGGTGACATGAATGACTGGAATAACTATTATTAATGGGATGGCTAACATGACTGGGATAACTAGGATGACTATAACACTAGGGTGACTGTGATGAATGGGCTGAATAGGATGACTGGGGTGGTTGGCACAACAGAGGTGGTTTCAATGACTGAAATAACTGGGATGACTAGAATGGCTATGATGATTATATGATAACCGGAATGACTGGGATTACTGGGTTGACTGGGATCACTAGCATGACTGTGATGACTGGGGTGACTGGTATGGAATGAGTGGGATGACTAGGGTGACTAGGGTGACCGGTATGAGTGGGATGACCAAGATGACTAGGGTGACAAGGATGGCTAGGATGACTAGGATGTCTTGGATGACTAGGGTGACTGGGATGACTGGGTTGGCTAGTATGACTAGAAGGACTGGGATGAGTGGGATAACTAGGGTGACTAGGGTGACTAGGGTGAGTAGGATGACTAGGGTGACTAGTATGACTAGAGTGACTAGTGTGACTGGGATGAGTGGGATGACCAAGATGACTGGGGTGACTAGGGTGATTAGGATGAATAGGGTGACAAGGATGGCTAGGGTGACTAGGATGTCTTGGATGACTAGGGTGACTGGGATGACTGGAGTGGCTAGTGTGACTAGGGTGACTGGGATGAGGGGGATAACTAGGGTGACTAGGGTGACTAGGATGACTAGGGTGACTAGGGTGGCTAGGGTGACTAGGATGGCTAGAGTGACCAGTATTATGACTAGAGTGACTAGTGTGGCTGGGATGAGTGGGCTGACTAGGGTGACTAGCTAGGGTGACTAAAAAGCATAGGATGACTAGGGTGATTTGGATAACTAGGATGCCTGGAATTACTGGGATGTAAAACAGTCCAAGGTGTGAACCCAGGAGTCATTTAATAAGTAGGTTGAGCATGATCGTCCAGGTGATCGTAGTCCTGAATGGGACTGTTGTTGATTGATTGACCTTTCAGCAAACTGTGTGGCAGTCATCTTCAGAATCAAAGTTGCTTGTATTGCATCAGCTGATAATATTAAAATCTGGTTATTGACCTGATTGGTAAATTAGGTCACAATGATATTGGTCGTCTGTTAGTTAAGCAGATCGACTGATGTTATTTGGATGAATAGACTCAACAGCAGGGGTGACTGGGATGACTGTCATGAAAAGATTATTATTAGAATAACTGCGATGGTTAGGTTGAGTAGGAAAACTTGGGTCACTAAGGTAATTGGGGAGACTAGGATAACTAGGGTGATGAGATAACTGATACAACTGGGGTGACTATGATGACTAGGGTGATGATATAACTGGGGTGATGAGATAACTTCAGAGATGACTGGAGTGACTAGGATAACTAGGGTGACCATGTTTTTTGTCAAACATTTGAAATTTTTCCATCTTTTCATTTTTGGCAAAATCAGCCAGCAAAATGTGTTTGACATTATTCTAGAAAGTAAAAAAAGCATTTTTAGACAAAAAAAATCAGGATTTTTCCAAAGGGGTTAGTCCATGGGTTTGGTAAAAATATAAATTCTTTTCATCTTTTTATTGTAGGCTAAATAGGCCAGGAAAATGTTTCTATCGATATTCTAGAAAGGAAAAAGGCGTTTTTAGATTCTGAAATCACAAAGTTAAAAAAGTTGAAAATTTGGTATGTTTCCGAAGGGGTTAGTCCATGGTTTTGGTCAAAAGTGATATAAGACTATAAAACACAAAAAGTTAAAAAAGTCAATCCATGGTACTAGTGAAAAATTTGAAATTTTCCATCTTTTTATTTTAGGCAAAACAGGCCAGGAAAATGTGTTTGACGATATTCTAGAAAGGAAAAAGGTGTTTTTAGACTCTAAAATCACAAAGTTCAGAAAGTCGAAAATTTGGTATTTTTCCAAAGGGGTTGGTCCACGGTTTTGGTCAACAATTTGAATTTTTTCTATCTTTTTTTTTTTTAAAGAAAGATAGGCCAGGAAAAATATTAATGTGTTCGACCATATTCTAGAAATGGAAAGGACAAAAAAATTGAAAATCTGGGATTTTTCTAAAGGGGTAAGCTTAAGGTCCATGGTTTTTGTCAAAAACTTGAAATTTTTCCATCTTTTTATTTTTGGCAAAATCAGACACGAAAATCTGTTTGACGATATTCTAGAAGGGAAAAAAGCATTTTTAGTCTCTAAAATCAAAAAGGAGTTAGTCCACGGTTTTGGTAAAAAATTTGAAATTTTTCCATGTCTTTATTTTTGGCAAGGGTACCAGCCAGCAAAATGTGCTGGATGTTATTCTAGAAAGTAAAAAAGCGTTTTTAGACTATAAAAAACAGAAAGTTCAAAAAGTCAAAAGATGGGTTAGTCCATGGTTTTGGTAAAAAATTTAAAATTTTCTTCATCTTTTTATTGTAGGCTAAATAGGCCAGGAAAATGTTTTTGACGACATTCTAGAAAGGAAAAAAGCGTTTTTTGACTCTGAAATCACAAAGTTAAAAAAGTTGAAAATTTGGTATTTTTCCAAAGAGTTAGTCCATGGTTTTGGTCAATTGAAATTTTCCATGTTTCTATTTTTGACAAAATCAGCCAGCAAAATGTGTTTGAATGTGTTTTAGACTCTAAAATCAGAAAGTTAAAGAAGTCGTAGAAACTGGATAATATTTCCATGGTTTTCGTCAAAAATTTTAAATTTTTCCATCTTTTTATTTTTGGCAAAATAAGACACGAAAATCTGTTTGATGATACTCTAGAAAGAAAAAGAGCATTTTAGACTCTAAAATCAAAAACTATGTTAAAAAAGTCGAAGAATCAGGATTTTTCCAAGGGAGTTAGTCCATGGTTTTGATAAAAATTTTCAAATTTTTCCATGTTTTTATATTTGGCAAGATCAGCCTGCAAAATGTGTTTGACATTTTCTGGAAACTAAAAAAACATCTTTAGACTATAAAAAACAGAAAGTTAAAAAGGTAAAAAAATCAGGATTTTTCCAAAGGAGTCAGTCCATGGTTTTAGTAAAAAATTTGAAATTTTTCCATGTTTTCATTTCATAGAAACTGGATAATTTTTCCATGGTTTTCGTCAAAAATTTTAAATTTTTCCATCTTTTTATTTTTGGCAAAATAAGACACGAAAATCTGTTTGACGATACTCTAGAAAGAAAAAGAGCATTTTAGACTCTAAAATCAAAAACTATGTTAAAAAAGTCGAAGAATCAGGATTTTTCCAAGGGAGTTAGTCCATGGTTTTGATAAAAATTTTCAAATTTTTCCATGTTTTTATATTTGGCAAGATCAGCCTGCAACATGTGTTTGACATTTTCTGGAAACTAAAAAAGCATCTTTAGACTATAAAAAACAGAAAGTTAAAAAGGTAAAAAAATCAGGATTTTTCCAAAGGAGTTAGTCCATGGTTTTAGAAAAAAATTTGAAATTTTTCCATGTTTTCATTTTTGGTAAAAAACAGCCAGCAAAAGAACAACAAGCGATACCATCATTTCATGGCATACATCGAGCTGAATTTTTATCGATGATGTTGACACTTCAATTTCATGGGTGAAATTTGCCACTATGCATGAAAGATAACTTAACTACACACTTCTCACCAGCTAGAAATTTGAAGTATTATTTGTTTCTTCCCACGTTGGTTTGTTCATTCTCAAAATCAAGGAAACTACAAGTGATTTTCATGTTTGGGCAAAGGAAAGGTCATTACTGAATGCAGTGCCAAAGTTAATGTCAGTTACCATAAACAAATAAGAAAACTCAGAAACTCCAATTAAACAGTATACTGATGACAAGCTCAAAGAAAACTTCCTGAAAGAAACTTAAAATTACGCAAAGTATAATCCCCGTTTTCTTCAGTCTTGAAGGTAATGCCACACAAAATGGTTTCTTGCTGGACGTGTCGTCAATAATTTATGACAACAATTACCGCTTCAATGATTCTTGCTATGCGATTCTCATAATCAGGAAACAAGATGCCACTGGTAACTTACTTTTGAGCATTAAGTAGGATGACCAGGGTGACTGGGATAACTAGGATGACGGGGATAACTAGGGTGACTAGGGTTACTATGGTGACTGGAATGGCTGGGATTAAAACACAGATGACTGGATGGCTTGGATGACTGGGATGATCTAGACAACTAAGGATGACTAAGGTTCATGAATAATTACCCCCGCAGGGATTTCGCCCAGAAGGCGAAATCCCGGGAGGCACTCTAGTAACTCGCGCGTATATTAAAGAAAGTACTTACAGCTGAAATATACAGTCAGTATGCCACAAAAAATCTCGATTTGCTTGAACAGGAGCCACGAGAAATTTGTAGGTAATGATGACCTTTCTATTGTTTGTGCCCGCAAGTAGGAAATGGTTAGGATGATGAAAAGACAGAAAATCCCGAAGAGACTACTTAGGAAGATTTTGTGATATTTATTGTGCAGTTCTACCTCGATACTCTTTTGCATTACGTGTTATCAGTGACATTCTGTGGAGCAGTTGTTTTGAAAGTTATGGATCAAAAGACAGTTGTTAAGCGCAGATGAAGGTGCGTATAACTGTGTATATATAAACACTTGGAGAGTTTGCCAGACACGAGTTCACAAATCTTTGATTGGAAATCTTGCCAGACACTCTTTCTCTCTCTCTTTGACTGGAATAAGACTCAGCCACAAACAAGCAAGACGAGTGAATCAACGGCTAGCTTATCACTAGCACAACGATGGATGATTACAGAAGTTCGCCGACAATCATAAATTCTGTGCTGACTTATTCCCTGCTCTCAGATGTCCTTCTGCAATAAAGTTTAAAATAAGACTAGAATGCGCGAGCGCGAATTGATCAAACGTCCTTTTAATTTCTAAGGCTTACTTTCCGGCAAATAAAATGAACTGAAATGTAAAAAGTGAAAGAGAAATAGTGAAAAATTCAACTTTTAATTAAATCTTTTCTTACGGTTTCGAATAAACTATTCTCAAAACTGGGAATGTTCTGATTAAAGCTATGTAAATCAACTGAAACAATGCATGGAACCTTGTGTTTCCTGTATTTATCTCACCTATTGTATGGACTATGTGCAAAAATCTTCATAATTATGAATCAGTATATTTCAAAGAGCTACACAACAAGCAAGAATACTATTGAGCAACTATACACAGAGCGGGGGCAGCTGTAGTGTCAACTATTACTCGTATTAAGGAGGATGACAAGGGTAACTGTGATTACCAGGATGACTGAGACGACTGGAGTGGCTGGGATGACCAGGATCACGAAATTGTAATGGTGACTTTGGTGACTAGGATGACTAGGGTGGGTGGGATAAGGTGAATGTCTCTATGACTCTATGGCATAAGATGATTGGAATGACTGGGATACCTGTGGTGACTAGGATGACAAGGGTGACAGCTAAGTAGGATAACTCGGTTGACTGGGATGACTAGGACTAGGCTTATCCCCTGCCAGACACCCCAGTCACAGAACAAAGTGTCTCACACCAGTTTAGAAGGTTAAAAAACTTTTGATACCTGGTATGCCTGAAACCACTAATGCAACACTGCCATCCTCAGCTGTCACTTTTGATGTCATCCCTTTAATCCTACAAATGTCTTGATATCCAACTTGTGATGGGCACGGAAATTTCCAAAACATTCCCAGATACAAGGGGTTCTATGAAATGGGCAGAAATGTAATGAGATAATACAAAAAAAATCCAAAATGCCAAGTAGAAAAGAAGAATAATAGTTTCCCTACTTATATATATGGACGTGCTTTTTTGGAAAAATTAATGTTTCCTAGCATGTTAAATAAATGAAGCCTTGCTTCGATCTATTTGCTGACAAACCACAAACCCAAACAAACACCACAAATATTTCTGGAACATGTGTCGCGAGAAAAGTAAGCAATCAAGCATGAGATAAACTATACCACAAGCAAAGATGATAAATAAGTTTGTGGTTTTCTGGCAAACTCACATGTCTTGATATTTGCTCTGACAGATCATAAGACAACAAACATTCCCGAAATATCTCAAGTGTTCATGGTTTTGTGGGCATTAGATCATATTTAAATGATATTTTGTGCCTTACGAATAATAAATTATTATATTATTTTTATTATATTATATTTGGCAGAGTTTCACAGAAAAATTCATTGACAATGTTTACAAAAAGACTGCAAAAGCCTACCTGCAAAATTAGATTTCTAAAAACTGGGTCCAGTTATTAGTATAAGATAGTGATAGGACTACATGCTGTCCAATTTGGAAATAATTGGATGAAAAAAAATTCTGAGGAAAGCCAAAATTGCAAGAAGAAATTTTTTGAATTCAATTTTATTACTTCCAAATTGGACAAGCTTGTGGTCCTTTTATTTATTAATAATATAGCTGGTTAGTTAATTCAAACTTTCTTCAGTTTGGTCTTCTGCACATTTTCCTTTTAAATGGCCCAGACAAGAAGACAAAACAAAACAACAGCAACACAAAACAACATTTTACAGCAACAAGAAGCCAAAAGTGTATGCCAACAAGCTGTTGTGAGCCACCAGGACATTTTTTGGTGTCTTATCACAGGGACTTTGCATTGATTGGCTAGTTTGCATTGCCTATTGTTTTTTCTGGCATTTGATTGGCTCAGACCAGCTGTCCTATTTTTCTTGAGACAGTTTGCCTATTTGTAAAAGAAAGTCCCATCTGAAACTATCCAAATTAATCAATAACAGGACAGTTCATAAAAATTAAAGGATAATCACTTTGCTGACAATATCAGATTAACTAACAGCTATATAATTAATAACAATAATAATTAAAATTTGAAGGCAAGTTAGCACTAACTTGGGGTTAAATTAATTTTTAAATCTGGTTTTCTTTTTAGCATTTTCTCTGACAATTTTCTCTGTCTATTTTTCAGAGCATCCAATCAACAAATTCAAATTTTGCACTAACCCAGGGTTATCTTAACCCTACATAGAAAAACCGACGTTAATTTTAATGTTTTTGTGACCTGACAACAGCTTTCAGTTGGCCCTCATTGTCAGTACCAACCCAACATAGATTAAAATTAATAAGTTAGAGTAACAAGGTGAAGTGGTCCAAGTTAAAAAAAGAATGGCTGAAGAACAACAGCGGGGTGATTATAACCTGCCCCAAATGTCCACTTCCTCAAAGGAGAAAAACCCTGAGCAAAAAAGTTGAACCCCACAATCAGCAATCTCCCCAACTGGGTCATAAAAAGTGTAAAACCAAGTCTCTGTAACAAATGACACACAGGTAACTAGTACATGTACCAATGTTATTATTATTGACAGCATATATACCAAACCAGTTGATATGCCTAGACTGTGCTTCTGTTGACCTCCTATTTATCCAGCCTCTCAAATGAATGCAGTCCATCTCTCTGACCATTTTGCCATATTTGTTGTCTTTTTTCTGCATGAAAAATAAATATTTAACCATTTTTATTAGTGCACAAACTGGTAATAATATACAGCTGTAGTAACTTCTTGTTAAAAATCCTATCCCTCCTTGCAATTTGTATAAACACCTTTATATGAACATGAATAAAAGCACATTAAAATAACTTTTCCTAGATGGAAAACATCGACCATTTAGAGCTAATACCTTCGAAAACATTTACAATAAATAGTTGACAAGTTTAAAAGTTTAAATAATGATGTCAGGACTTAAAGTGCAAATAGGGCCTGGACAAGACTTAAAAATAAAAGTTATTGAATAAGAATGAATAATAATGCTATAGTGTTCCATTCAATTTCACAATACAATAGTTTTAAACTCCCATGATACTCATCTCTAAAACCCACTTATGGATATTTCATTATAAAATTATATCTGCTTTTAGTCTTATGACCTAATCAAATGAATGCATGTTCTTAATAAACCATTCCAATCAACCAATTCTTCCCAGTGAACTCATCCTAGTCATCCCACTTATCCTAGTCACCCCAGTCACCATTAATCCAGCCACCACAGTCATCCCAGTCATCCTACATGTAGCTACCCCTAGTTATCCAAGTTAAAAAGTAATCCTCATCATTCTATTCACCCCTGACTGGTACTAGTCATCCTTCCCATTCCAGTCACCATCATCACCTAGGCCTGCCTTGTCATCCTAATCATCCTAGTCACCCTTACAGTCATCCAAGTTATCCCAGTCACCTTAGACCTATCCTAGTATAAACCCTGGTCATCTTTGTCATCCAAGTCATTGTAGTCATGCTAGACACCCTAGTCATCATAGTCATACTACTCATCCAAGTCATCCTCGTCACCCTAGTCATCCTAGTTATCCCAATCATTCTAGTCATCATAGTTAATTTATTCCAGCTATCCCAGTCACCCTAGCCATACTAGTTATCCTAGTCAACCCAGTCATCCTCCTCATCTAAGTCATCTTAGTTACCCCTATCATTCAAGTGATCACACTCATTACAGACATCAAAGTCGAACCAGTCATCCTAGAAATCCTAGTCAACCCAGGTCATCCTTGTTATCTAAGTCATCTTAGTTGCCCCAATCATTCAAGTAATCACACTCATTACAGACATCAGAGTCACCCCATTCATCCTAGAAATCCTAGTCAGCCCAGTCATCCTAGTCACACAAGTCCTCCTGGTAGCTACCCTAGTCATCCTAGTTATCCAAGTCATACCACTCACACTTATCATCCAAGTCACCCACTGGTACTAGTCACCCCTCAGTTCCCTTGTCATCATAGCCAAGTTTAATAGTCATTTTTATCATCCTAGTCATCCTAGCCATCTTGGTCATCTTAGTTATCTGAGTCATTCTAATCATCCTAGTCATCCTAGTTATCCGAATCATTTCAATACATCAAAGTCATTCCAGCCATCACAGTAACCACAGTCATCCCAGTCATCCTAGTAATCCTACTCACCCCAGTCATTCTAGTCGCCATGATCAACCTAGTCAACCCAGTCATCCTTGTCATCCTAGTCATCTTAGTCAGCCCAGTCATCCTAGTCATGTTAGTCATCTTAGTCTATCCAGTCATTCTGTCATCCTAGTCACCCCAATCATCCTAGTCATCCTATCATCCTTGTCATCCCAGTCACCCTCCTTATCCTAGTCACCCCAGTCATCCTACTCATCCTAGTCATCCTAGTCATCCTAGTCAAACTACTCATCCTAGTCACCCTAGTCATCCGAGTCAATCCAGTCATCCTGTCATTCTAGTCACCCCAGTCATCATAATCACCCTAGTCACCCCAGTCATCCTACTCATCCTACTCTTCCTGGTCATCCTAGTCACCCTAATCATCCTAGTTACTCCAGTCATTTTTGTCATCCTAGTCACCTCAGTCATCCTGTCATCCTAGTCACCCTAGACATTCTAGTCATCCTACAACCTGGTTAAAACATTTAGGACACCTTTATGTAATTCAAGTTGACCCCCTCCCCCCCTGAACAGTGTTGGGTGTTACAAGTCAAACGTTTTACATATTTTGCATACGCTAAGGACCTCAACTGTCCGCAGGAGGTGGGGGAAAATCTTGTTAAGGCCGTGTTTATGACAGTGTATCGCAGGTTAGCTGTAAATTCCATAAACCACACGTGAAAAAGGGGAGGTGCCCCAAAACCTTTTGGCCAGGATTGTAGTCACCCCAGTCATCCTAGTCACCCCAGTCATCTTAGTCATCCTAATCACCATAGTCATTCTAGTCATCCTAGTCGCTCAAGTGATCCTGTCATCCTAGTCTCCTTACTCAAACTAGTCATCCTAGTCATCCTTGTCACCCCAGTCATCATAGTCATCATATACTCACCACAATCATCCTAGTCATCCTAGTCACCCTAGTCATCCTAGTCTTACGAGTCATCCTAGTCATTGTAGTCACCCCAGTCGTCCGAGTCATCCTAGTCACCCCAGTCATCATCCTAGTCAACCTAGTCATACTAGTCACCCTAGTCATCCTGTCATCTTAGTCACCCAGTCATTCTAGTCACCTTAGTCATCCTGTCATCCTAGCCACCCCAGTCATCCTAGTCACTCTAGTCATCCTAGTCACCCCGGTCATCCTGTCATCCTAGTCACCCTAGTCATCCTGTCATCCTAGTCACCCCAGTCACCCTGTCATCCCAGTCACCCTAGTCTTCCTAGTCACGCCAGGCATCACAGTCATCCTAGTCACCCCAGTCATCCTAGTCTTCAAGTCACCCTAGTCACCCCAGTCATCCTAGTCACCCAAGCCATCATAGTCATCCTAGCCATCCTTGTCACCCTAGCCATCATAGTCACTCTAGTCATCCTAGTCACCCCAGTCATCCTAGTCACCCCAGTCATCCCAGTCATCCAGTCATCCTAGTCACCCCAGTCATCCTAGTCATCCTAGTCACCCTAGCCATCATAGTCATCCTAGTCACCCCAGTCATCCTAGTCTTCAAGTCACCCTAGTCATCCTAGTCACCCTAGCCATCATAGTCACCCTAGTTATCCTAGTCACCCCTGCTATCGCAGTCATCCTAGTCACCCTAGTCACCCTGGCCAGTCATCCTCATCACCTTAGTCACCCTAGCCATCATAGTCATCCTAGTCACCCCAGTCCTCCAACTCACCCCAGTGATCTCAGTCATCTCATTCATCCGACTCATTCTAGTCTCCTTAATCATCTTAGTCATCCTCAGTTACCCATGTCATCCCTATAGTCATCTTCAGTTATCCTAGTCATTCTAGTCGTCCCAGTCATCTTAGTTCTCTTGTATATGTTACAGGTCAAATTTAACCTAGGTTGATTCTCAATTTCCTCAATTTCCTGTCCTCTAGCCCTAGTAGACAAAGGAAATGAAGAATCAACCTAGGATAAAAATTTTTAACCTGAGAACAAATTTGACCTGTAACAGATATATTAATTTGCTTTAAATTTCTTTATCAGTGCAGATCTTTTATCGTACTGGCTTTAGTTGTTCAAAAGCTGAATAGCGCTATCCTTGTAATTGGGCACGTGGCCTTAAAAAAATTTAAATTATAACAAAAAACATTTTGTTTGTCCACCCCTCCCTAGCTGACCCCTCTTCATCCAAGCCAATCTGACAGTAGCTAAGTTAACATTCTTATCTAAGCTACTACTATGTAGTTTCCGTAGCTCTAAAATTGCACTCTGTAAGCTTAAACCGTCATATCTTACCTGTACCATGATCAAAACTCTCCATGAGCGTGCAAGATAAGTGCTTTGTCACTAAGGACTTAAGCCTTCTTGTTCCAAATAAAGTACTTCTTTTTATCACATTTAAATGATACAGAAATCAATCAGTCACTGAACTGAAAGATCAAGCTGCGTTCTGGCAGAATCCGTGCTTTCATTTGAAGTTAGTTGGACAAGAAGGGAGCCATTATCTACCATGCGCCATCTTGGTTTCCCCTAGTCCCCAAGCTCCACTCGGTAAAAACTTAGGCAGATGTTAGGGGAGGGGTGAGGTGAGGCCGTGAGGAGTTGCCAAGAAAACATGTAAAAGCCTCCTTTTATGTCGATTTACCGAATTTAAAGTTTCTATTATTTCTAATTTTTTTTTCTCACGCCCATATATCGATGTTGCTACATGTGCCGAACCTAATTGAATAAGTTCGACTTTGGAGCGACTCTGGCGCGACATCTAATTCAGACGGCGCACCGTGTGTCGTGCCTAAGTAAAGGTTCAACAAAAGTTTGACAGACTCTGTCCAACTTAACGCTTTTGCTGCACCAAACTAAAACTGCAGCACTAAATTGATTCAGACGCCGCTCTTTTACCGCACTTAGTTCATCAGTTAGGTTCGGCACATGTGTGGAGCGGCGTCTAAACCGGGCCTAAGGATTTTAGAAAAAACAAGGGTTTCGTTATAATATTCTTGATAATAATGAATAGTAATAATATATAGATTTAGCCAGGGCCAAAAGCGAAGCTCTCGATAATATTTCAGTACAGTTTGCTAAACAAAATATGTAATCGTGTAATGCTAAGCGGCAAAGGAAACGAGGACGGTGAAAAAACAACAATAGGTCTAATTAGCAAAACAGTAACTTTGCACGTGCAGCACACTTTTCAGTGTACATTTCTTTGCCGTTGTTTTGCACGACCTACAATGTGAAACTTCCTGGTTACATCTTTTATGGAGGAAATATCGTACGTGGTTTTGTTCATTTTTTTTTTTACTGCCTCCCATTTTCACCTTGGTGGCCGCTAGCATTTCTTATTTTCCCAAGCGCCGCTACAAAATTTTCATGTTGTTCTTCCAACAAAAAAATTTCCCTTTGTATTTTATCTCTCGCTCTAGCTGTCTATTGCTCTTTTTCTCGTTGAGCTTCGCTGGCCTGTCGCCTACTTTCTCTTTTTCTGTGTCTCTCTCTGTATTGCAAGTTTGTAGACATGACAAGTAATCTAAGCCAGGAGCCTATAACCCGGAGAGAGTAACTCCTATA